GAACAGTAAACATACACAGTAAAAGATTCTAGACATTTTGCATTATTTAAGCTTCTTTTTATGCAAAAAAAGAGGATTAAGCTTAAGACTTCGTTCTATTGTGCTCCACTTTCAATTTATGATTTCTGCTAGTGTGACTAACATATTCAATGGGGATCTACTGAGCTACAAGTGTTCATTTTACCTTAGAATTCGAATTACAAAAGAGAAAATTTGTTCAATCTCACGGCAAAATGCTTCGATACAAATTTGCAAAGTTACATTAGCAAGGGATCAACTGGAAAACTTGTTATTACAATCATATAAATTGCTTCATAAACCTTCCTAACCTTTTGACGACTTCCTGTTCATCTCACGGGTAAGCAGAGGAAGAAATTGCTCAATTGTACTCTCTATTTTGAACGAATTTTCTTCATGTACCACTAGAGCAGCAGCCATTTTGAAGCAGGTTGCACGCTGCAACAGCGATGTGATTATTTCACTTAATTCGGAGGCATCTAAAACCTTATAAAACCATACCTTGAGAGAAACATTTGGTTGACGTGAGATCTCGAATCGGCAGATACTTGTTAATTTTTCCACCAGAGATGTGAACTGTTCATCGGTTAGATGGTGTGAGATAACAATTAGGATTTTTGACGCCTGGAGACACGTAGTCAGGAAAAAAAAAAGGAAATGGTTTCGAGTAACAGCCGGTGAAATTTGAGATCGAATTAGAGACGGATGCAAGCAAAAACCAGTAGTACCTGCAAAGCGACATCCTCCGTTAGTAGTTTGTCACGTAGCTGCCAGCAGCACCAAGCAATGAGTTGAGAAACTCGTTCAGCGGTAAAGAAGGCCAGGTCGTAGTGACTTAGACACTGCCCAACAAGACATGCGGCCGATAATCGTATTGTTGAAGAGCCGTTGCATTTCATCAGTTGTTCCAAGGAATCTAAGCAGACCATCTCAAAAACTGTGTCAATAAAAGCATATCGAATTGTCATCCATCAACAACATCAAAAAAATATCGGGCTACTGCGAAATTTCCGCGACGTTTTGTTATTTTTATTTGGATCATAAGTTCTATAAATTTCAATCATCAGTCAAAAATATATCATTTAGCTATACAAGCAACCTGACTTTTAAACTCAGCAGATTGTTGTCCTCTCTAAAAGAGCAGCAATCCAAAAAAAAATTAGAATTC